TCTCGCCTTACCTCAATGCTCTCCCCGCACCTCCCTGACCTCCCGACTCACCTCAATGGAGGCAGTGATGATGTTGCCTGGCTTCAAATACCGTCAACAAGCAGGAAAAAGGCAAAGCCTATCTTGTGTGTTCTCATAATAACCGTATTAACTGCCCCAACAGCTCTCCCCGCGCCTCACTAGTCTCACCACACTTCAGTGCTCCCGCCGCACCTCAATGGTTTTGCCGTTGGAAGCAGTGATGATGTCGCCCGGCTTCATGCCGCCCCCGCTGACCATGTTCTCACACGCTGCTATGATGAAATGCACCTGGCGGTGGTGGGCATGTTAACAGGCACATGCAAGGCACATGCAAGTCATACGCACATGCAATGCAGTGCAAAGCACACACACAAACAGACTATCACATCAAAACAATCAAGCCTTCATGCCGACCCCACTGGTGTGGCGTTATGCCGAGCTGCCCCCGGCCCCCGGGCATGCTAAGAGCAAGGGGCGTGGGGGAGATAGGTGACAAAACACACAACAACTCGCACTTGCCTTCACGTCCCAGTGCATCTCCAGCCTCATTCTCTAACAGCACGCATTGACCCCCCTCCCCCGCTACCCCATGGGAGTTAAACGCGTGCCATGCCCCAAGCCCCATGCCCCAAGCCCCATGGCCCATGGCTCAAGCCCCATGCCCCATGCCCCATGCCCCATACCCCATGCCCCATGCCCCATGGCCCATGGCCCATGCCCCATGCCCCATGCTCCATGCCCCATGCCCCATGGCCTATGCCCCATGTCCCATGACCATGGCCGTGGCATCCCAGCGGCAGCAGCAAGGCATGTTTGGAAGAGAGGTGAGGTGGTGCTGAGTGCTGCGCTGAGCGAACAGGTGGGCGGACGGTAGGTGCAGAACCCTCACCTGCACGCCCTGGGGCTGGATGGCAGCGATGGCCTTGGCAGCGCCCAGCACAGCAGCAGCGCCGCCCATGTCAAACTTCATGAGGTGAATCATTGACCCCGGCCCCGCCTTCAGGTTGTACCCGCCACTGGTGGGTGCGATAAGCGGGGAAGGAGAGGGGGTGAAGCAGAGGGGGTGAAGCAGAGCCAAGGGAGAAGCAGAGCCAAGGGAGAAGCAGAGCCAAGGGAGAAGCAGAGCCAAGGGAGAAGCAGAGCCAAGGGAGAAGCAGAGCCAAGGGAGAAGCAGAGCCAAGGGAGAAGCAGAGCCAAGGGAGAAGCAGAGCCAAGGGAGAAGCAGAGCCAAGGGAGAAGCAGAGCCAAGGGAGAAGCAGAGCCAAGGGAGAAGCAGAGCCAAGGGAGATGATTGGAGGCATGAGAGAATGTCCAACTCCATGAGGTGACTCATTGAGCCTGGACCTGCCTTCAGGTTGTACCCGCCTCTGGTGCATGGGAGGGGTGGAAATGGGTGGGGAGGGGAAATGGTGATGGGATAGGGGATGCGAGGACGACCAGCCTTGAGGTTGCAGCCGCCACTGGTGCAAGAAAGGGGAGGGGATGGATGGGAGATCTTACTGAGTGAATTGTGGAGCCCTTGCCTGCCTGCCGCTTCTAATAGCGAGTGGATGAGCGAATAAGTGAGAGGAGAGGGGAAGGAAGGTTGGGGACGAGGTGGTGAAGACAGAAGGCGTGGTTGACCAAGGGAGGGATGAGAGCAGAGGCGATCCACGGACAGATTGACCCGCTGCTGTTTGATGGCAGAATCAGCCTTGAAACGGTTTATGTGGACGTCATGGGGCAGATAGCGTGAAATGGGTGGAAGCACATGGTCGGACGCATGCCCTTAGGGCCACAAGAAGGCATGAACAGGCATGAGGAGGCATGCGCAGCCCCATGCATACCTGTCGAAGGTGAGTCCCTTGCCGATCAGCGCCAGCTTCTTCAGCGGCTTCTCCTCGCTCCCTTCGCCACCATCCCCAGCAGCAGGCGGTGTGTAGGTGACGTGGATGAACTTGGGCGGGTTGTCCGCCGCTGATGCCTCCGCCACTGCCAGGTACGACCCCATGCCCAGGGCGGCACATTCATCCTTCTCCAGCACACGTGCGCTCAGCACGTCCGCGTGGGCGGCGGTCAGGTTCACCGCCACGTCAGCAAGCACAGCTGGCGTGAGCACATTGGGCGGCGCGTTGACGAGCTGCTTGGTGAGGATGATTCCCGCCGCCAGCCTCTCCGCCTCGAACACGTCCCTCTGCAGTGACTCCGCGTCACCCAGCCCCACCACTTGCAACTCCTTCACACCCCTCTCCGCCTTCGCCTTCTCCTTCTCCTCCGATTTGAACCGCACATCCTCGAAGCTGCCTACTATGGCGCCCGTCACCATCCCCCGAACCGCGCTCCCCGCTTTAATCTCCTGCCCCTCCGCCGCCTCTGGCTTGCCAAGGAATGCGAGGGATACCTTGCTGGCCTGATTCGTTTTAGCGGCGCCTGCTATAGCAGAGCCTACTCCCTGCCACGAGCCGGCCTCCCCCTTTAGAAGCACATCCGGCTTGCCCAGCCCCAGCAGCCCGATTCTTTTGAACGGCTGCCCAGGAACGCGGAGGATTTGCGAAACCTGCCCGGGCTTCGCTCTGAAATCCGGGTCGGATGCCAGCTCAGCGAGAGCGCCGGAAAGCGTGGTGTCGAGAGACGCCAGCTCAGCACCGCCTGGTGCGTCAGCAGCAAAGCCAGTGAAATTGGCTGCTGACGTGTCGTCGCGGGAGAGGGCGGAGTCGAAGACGGCGAGGAGGAGGAGGTCGGAGGGGAGGGAGAGCGGCGGCGAGGCGGGGTCGAAGGAGACGGACACCTGGCATAGACGAGGAGAGAGGGCGGTGAGGACTATGGCAGCCGGGATGAATTGTGACGGGAAAGGAGGAAAGGGATGGGGAAGAGGAGAGAGGGAAGGGGACAGGAGTCGGTGCGGAGGGGAAGGGGGTGGAAGGGTGGGGAGAAACGAGTGAGAGTAATTGGCATGAATTGACAGACGTGGCGTTATAACGAGGGCAGTGGCACTATACCGAGGGCAGTGGCACTATACCGAGGGCAGTGGCACTATACCGAGGGCAGGACGGCATTCCCTGGGATGGTGAGGCCCACCACGCCTTCACCGCGCACAGCCTGCGTCGCTACCACTGACATCCCGCGCCTCCCCCCGCGCTGGCGCAAGGCGGGCTGCACCGACTGGCGGAAGGCGGCGGACGCGGAAATCGCTGCTGAGGCTGTGCCTGGAAACGGCGGGTGGTGAAATAATAGTGTTCTGTCACCAAGCATAAATAGCTCATGATGCAACGTAAGATTTAACTGAACGCTAAAATCTCTGTTCTGTTTCTGACTTTCCTGTTATAGTTTCGTAAGGATTATTGTGCGGCGAAATCTTCGAACATAAGAATAACGCACGACAGCTCACATAAGGACCTTAAAGGTTGAATGGGATTGCAGACAAAGAGAGATAACAGCACCGATAAGAATTACAATGAATTCATGTCTTGAGCTCGCTCCACCTCAGCTCACCTGCGAGCGGCACGTATCGGCGTGCAGCCGGCGCAAGCGACACTCCCGCGAGCTCCGAATCAGTGAAGGATGTCAGTCTGCGCTGACTGACGCCGGCTGATAGTCCGCTGGTGGACAGACCCACTCCGCCGACAGACAGAGACGAAGCGGCCATCCGTTGGCGTGCGACTGACGATCGCGCAGCGGTAGCGGCACGAATGAGGGAGTTAGGGGCGACAGCTGCAAGGATAGCGCGTGCAATGGTGCTCATGAACAATGGCAGAATAAAGTGGTAGATCAGGAGGTGGGATACATTACTGGGAAACAAAATGTGAATGTTTGGGATGTGTATCTGATACAGCTCTGGCAGAGTGCCTGGCGGGAGTGGGCTGCCGTTTGTGGAAGCCGTTGTCAAACATGGTAACCCAGAATTTATTCGTTCGGTATCCAGGAGAGTGGTTAAGAACATTTTTGCACGTTGTTTTGCGGTGGTCACTCGCAGTTGTAATGCGAAAGCTGAAGCTTCTGACTGTCTGTCGCAATTCCCTCGTCAAATGGCAACAGCACCACCTCAACTTTGTGTACGCGGCGTGACGTGACTGGTTTAGAAGAGATTGTGCGTTTTTCACGTGTCAATCTCTTCCATCTTTCGCCTTTCTGCATTCCACACAGCACACGTATTCATCCACGATGTCATTCACAACAGACCCGATTCAGGCCTGAACACGAAATACCTCGCTAAGATTTCAGACCTCATTCACCTGACCCAAAATTGGGCAACCCTGCACCAAACGGTGAGTGTCAATCGGCAATAGAAGTGCAATATGCATCCAGAATTCATGGCAAGACCAAGGGAGGGTGGTACCGTACTCCAGATTTGTCATCCAGTTATAACATTTCATTATGGATTAAGTGTGATACAAAATCGGGGAATTAAGATAAGGGGTATTAGAGGAAGGTAGAAATGGTGGAACAAAGACAGGGTGATGCGGAGAGAAGAGCTGGAGAAGAAGAGAAGGGCCGAAGGAAAGGTGGAAAGAGGAAAAGAAGAGAGGAAGAAACTAAAGGAAGGAAACACCTAAGGACCAAAACACCACAGCAACCCGCACCACAGCGCGGGACACAGCCTTTACAGCACAATCGCTAAACGCCTATACATATGCATCGTACATATACTGCATGTCTGCCACGCTCTCAAAGCAGCCGGTAATGTTATGCCAACTGCCCTGCCCTGCACCCAAATGGACTGGTGCGGGCATCCACCCATCGTCTGACCCTCCCAACTGCCGCACCGCGTGCTGTATAATACTCTGAGCCTGCGCTCGCTGCAGTGCCACGGAAAGTCGTGTAGTGAGTCCGGTCTCGAAAATCCGGGCTGACCCATCATTCTCCCCCCCCCCCAAGTCTTTACGCCGCTGTGCAATCCGCCGCGCACAAAGCCCTAGAAACTGCCTCATTAGCTCGCTGAGCAGCCCAAACGTCTCCACTACACAAGCATAAAAATGTGGCGGCGGTTGTAATCCCTCTAGATGCGGTGCCCAATCCCGCAACTTGTCCTGCACTCGTCTGGCTGCTGCAACACCTATCTGCACTGGGGCCACACGTCTAAGCCCAGTATTCCCCTGTTGCTGTGGATCTGCAATGGAGACGTCTACCAACACCATCAGAGTTTTTTCTATATCACGGCAAGTCAGGTCTGGAATGCGGGCTGGTGCCCTTATGCAGCCTGTGCGTCCAGCCTGCCTTTGCTAGCTGTATTGGCTGCTGCTGTGCCTGGTCCCTCCGTGCCTCTTCCCTTGTCGTCTCTGCCTCTCTATGCTCTCCCCCACCCACCTGCCTCCTCCCATCCCCTCTCCCCAACCCCAAACCCCCCAGCACCCTCGCCCTATCCCCCCCCTCCATACCCTCCCCTCCTAACCCATGCGCTCCCGCCGTCATGTCCCCCGCCACCTCCTCTCTCCCTCTCTCCCCGAACCAGCCCGCACCCAAAGGCTGGGTCGCCCCCTGAACCCGGAGCCCGACCTGCCCTTGCTGGCCATCCCGCTGTTGCCCCTGCTGTCCCCTCTCCTCTACCCCACTCGCCGGCCTCTCTTGCCCCTGCTAAACCTCCTGTTGCTGGCTGCGCTGTCCTCTCTCCTCTCCCCCACCAACCTGCCCCTCCTGCCATTGCTGGCCATGCTGTTGCTGTTGCTGCCGCTACTGCTGCTGCTGCCGCTGCTGCTGCTGCTGCCGCTGCTGTTCTCTCTCCTCTCCTCTAGTAGCCTAGCCCCACTGACACTCCTGCTATCGCCCCTGTCGACCTTCCTGCTGCTGCCCCTGCTGACCCACTTACTGCTGTTCTCGCTGTCCTCTCTCCTCTCCCATACTGGCCTGCCCCTCCTGCCCCTGTTGGCCCTCCTGCTGTCGTCGCTACTGTTGCTGTCTCCTCTCCTCCTCCTAGCCAGCTTGCCTTTGCTGACCCACATGCCGCTCCCCATGCTGACCCTCCTGCTACCGCCCCTGTTGACCCTGCTGACCTTCCTGGTGTTGCTGCTGTTGCCCTCTCTCCTCTCCCCTACAAACCTGCTGCCGCTGCCCCTGTTGGCCCTACTGTTGCTGCTGCTGCCGCTGCTGCTGTTGTTGTTGCTGCTGCTGCTACTGCTGTTGTTGTTGTCCACTCTCCTCTCCCCCACTAGCCAGCCCCTCCTGCCCCTCCTGTCCCTGCTACTGCTGTCCATGCTGTCCCCTCTCCTCACCCCTACGGTTCTGCCCCTCCTGCCCCTGCTGGCCTAGCTGCTGCTGCTGCTGCTGCCGGTGCTGCTGCTGCCCCCCCTCCTCTCCCCCACTAGCCAGCCCATCCTGCCCCTCTCGGCCCTCCTGCTCACCAGCCTCTCGACCGAGCCCACCCTACTGCTGCTGCCGTCCCCACGGTGCCCCTGACTGTCCCAGTACCCCGTCCCCGAGAGTCCCTGCAGTCGCGCTCTAGCTGCCTCCAGGTGCAGAATCAAGGTGGTGTCCTCCACCTTCACCGCGAAACCTGCCTCAGAAGCAAAGTCCCGAAGCATGTATTTCACGGTGTCGTGGATGACCGTGGCGACTCCGAAGCGGGAGCACCGCACCACGTGGTGAGGTACCGTCATGTCGTCGATCGCCTGCCCATAAGAACACTGACCTGCGAGGGCTAGTTGGGGGATAGGGAGGCCGAGACGGAAAGCTGAGGCCACCTGCCACTGTGCCTCTGGGATGCGCAGCGAGTCTGCGTACGGCACCACCATCAACCACGCGCCTGCACCTCCGCCCTGAAGGGATGTCAAACGGGCAAGGTCCAAGGGGTTAGTGTGACGGGCCTGGACTGACTCCAAGGCCCGCGCCTCCAAGACGCGGCTCACTCCTGTGAAAAGAGAATCAGGGGCAGCAGAGACACAAGAGTGCCAGGGGGGGAAGAGAGAGAGGATGTCACGTGGGAGGCCCTCCAGCGCCGTCCGCAGTGATTGATCAATCTGGTCAACATCATCCGATGCGAAGCTCTGTCGGAAGCTCGCGCCACACACTGGGAGGGAGCAAAGGATCGGCGCGCACTGTACCCAAGAGCATGCATAACTCACCAGGGTGATACGCTCCATGCGTCGGATGCCAAAACCCCCTAGACGTATGGGGAGGTAGATCTGGTCCAGGGCAGCCTCACGAACGTCCTCTCTGCAAGTCCAAGTCCCAGGCACCAGAAGCTGTTGAAAGGTCTCCCCCAACCGCTCATCCCACCGTGCAAAACTGGCACGTACAGCCGGGGTCGGATGGACCGTCCTCGCCAGGTACTGCGGTCGCGTGCTGACGCATGCCGAAAGTAGACGGGCCGCTGTCTGGGGCTAGCGCAGTCTCGGAAGCCACGGCAACACGCGCCCCATCCTCTCCAGACGCTCAGGTAGGCTCCTCTCCACAAAAGCGTCAGAGCCCACCGGCACTCCCGTGACGATGAGTCCTCTGCGAGCGACCTCAATCCCCTGACTCGTGAAGGCCTCCACCTCCCTGGAAGTCACAAAATCTCTGCCGTAGACGAGACACTTTTGTGGCTGGACCGCAAGGCCCAGCTTGCGCAAGTGCCTCACAATCTCTGCGAAGTGGTGTAGCACCCTGGAAGGAGGGCCCAGCACGTAAGTGTCATCTGCGTATGACCATAGCTGGACATCGCCCTCAGCTAGAACTGGCTGTAGAGCCATTCGCTGTGTGAGGACATACAGGAAAGGGCTGAGCGGGTCGCCCTGACGGGTCCCGCACTCTGAGTGAATGGTGGTCACCACTCCATTCGCCCGGTAAACGAGATCGGAGGGTGTCCTGTAGAAAAGGCGAATGAAAGGAATAAGACAGCGGAACTCAACACTAGTGTAGAGGGCCTGGAATATGCTGTCTCAATGAAACGAGTTAAAGGCGTTCGCCACGTCCAGCTGAAGAACCATTTAGTCAGGGTAGTACCGGTGCCGGTAGTCGGGGCAAAGTACTCTGACCACTGGACGGAGTCAAGCGACCGCCCCTGTGCATCTGTGAACTGCATCCCCTGGGCTCGGGGCTCTGCTAGGGAAGGTAGAGCTGAGGCCCTACCGCGGAGGGTCTGCGCCCTGCGAGCTGCGTCGGCAGGGTGGCAGAATGGCATGTGGTGTCGGAGTGCTCGGCGGTTCGCGAGGGAGCTCAGGCATGTGGGGCACCTCACGACCTCGTCTGGTGACGTCGCTGTGTCAGTGGGGCCGGCCGTGGCCGTGCCCTCGGAACTATCTGCCGTGGTGATAGGTGGGGCTGGTGATGGGGATGGGTGGGGAGAGGTAGGTCGGAGTGGTGCACCTACATCTGCGTCAGAGGCGCACGGTCTGAAGATCAGATCGGTCTCCATCGGAGAAGGGTGGAACGGTTCCTGCAGGATGGGGGCTGCAAGAGGAAGGTCCATGAGGGGGGCTTCGTGGGCGTGTACCACTGGGGCCGGGGGGGTGGGAGTAGGGAGGGGTATGCGAGTGTTCTGTATCGCCAGCAAGTCAGATACAGCCGCCCCCAAGCCCGATGAGGGCTCTGACGCCTCCAGGTCTGTAAGGGAGGGAGGGTGACCTGGTCCAGCGAGAGATGAGTGAAGCACCGCCGGCCCATGTGGCTGGGTTGCATGTGGTTGTCGCACTGGCCTCAACTTACCCTCCAGCCCTCTCAGCTGAGCTGTCGGGGGCGGGGTGGGGCTGCACGCAGTGGTGGGAAGGGGGGTATGAGAGATAAGTGCAGCCTCATCCTCACCCGTCATTTTGTCAACCCCAACTCCAACTACCTCCATCCTAGTGGGGAGGGCGTCATCCTGAGCGGCAACCAGATGTTGGTGGGGAAGGATTGCGCCGGGGAAACCTCCACGGTGTGCCTGCAAAGGTGAGGGTTCATCTGGGGGGGGATTGCTGGGTGATGAGCCCATGTGAGGGTCGCCTGGAGCAGGTTGGGCAGAGGGGGCGGGGAGTAGAGCTGCAGGTGGGGCTGAAAACGGAGGTGGGGGTGTGGAACTTAAGCCCTCCCTGCCTCTGGCTCTCCCCCTCCGTCGTCGACCTGCGTTGGCTTGGAGAGTTGCGGTCTGGTTGTTGTGGGGGGGGGGGGTCACAACTGGGAAGAAATGTGAGTTCAGAAATTAGTGAAATGCATGAACAGAACTGAACTTTCATTTGCTGCAATTTAAAGCCCGCATGCAAAATAGTGACCCCCCCCTTCTAGTTTGGTGTTTTTTTTTCCGAACAGGGCAAGTCCCCAAGTAGTAACAAGACCGATTTGAAGACATTTCCGACTTATGATACGATCTGTCGCAACATGCACAAAATTGTTGCAAGCTTGCTAGGACATTTCCACTTCTCCCACCCATCCAAATCCGCATCGAGCACAACACATCACAAATTTCAAAACGGAACCTGCCACCACACACGCAGCATACACACAATGTTGGGCTAACGACCAACACAAAGTGATGCAAGTAGCAAACGGAAGAATGACAAGGTGACTTGAGAGGAGAGATGTTAGAAGAACTAGCAAAGGTGATTAACTATCGAGAGAGTTGTGGTACAAGTATAACCTTAAGGGGTTCTACCCCACACTGTCTACCCCACTACAGCCTACACCCAATAATAAATCATGTATACAGTTTGACACACCCTCATAGGCAACGTGGGGGAGAACAAGGGGTCACAAGACCAGTCAAGAAAAAAGTAATGCAAGCTCAGGGTGGATCACAACGTCACCATACACTCCGAGCACAAGCAAGAGGGCCACAAGGCCATTTCACATGTAGAGGTATATGTGCAACAACAACAGTACAGTGATCACTACCTAGTAAGAGTAAACATGCAGGTATATATATACAGATCACTATACAACCAAAGTCTACAGCAAGTAAGGAAATGTGGGCACCAAGCTTAGAGCAGTGCAGAAGCGCTGATGATCACCAGCCGGAAGGGCCTTGGTGAACACATCAGCCGTGTTGGCCCGGGTGGGCACCTGAGTGACACGAAGCTGACCACGCTGCAGCAACTCTCGAGCAAGGAAGTAACGCAGAGTGATGTGCTTCGTTCTGTGCTCCAAACTGTGGTCCTGACACATGGCAATGGCACCCTTGTTGTCGACGTACAGAATTGGAGGAGAACGAGGCCTCTCTCCCAAGTTGGTCACCAGGTAGGTGAGCCAGCGTAGCTCCTGTGCAGCCATGGCTGTGGCGTAGATCTCAGCCTCACAACTGGAGCTGAGAACTAAAGACGAGCATGTAGACCGCCAAGAAATAAAGCAAGAGCCAAGGCTGAACGTGTAACCCTGTGACGACCGATGCGTAGCCAGGTCGTCAACCCAAAAAGCGTCTGAGTGCCCAGTGAGGACAACCGAGCTCCGCCCTCCAAGCACAAGCCCCATGCCCGATGTACTGCACAAGTAGCGTAATACCCTCTTCGCAGCATTCATGTGCACCTTTCGGTGCCTACTAGGAGCCACGTAGCGAGCAAGAAGGCCAAGAGGGTACGCGAGGTTAGGACGAGTGCAGGTCATCAGGTACATGAGGCAGCCCACTAGCACTGGGTACGGACCACTCGGCTCGACGGACTCGTCCGAAGGTGGAGTTGAGAGCGAGAGACCTTTAGCCAGGGGAGTGGACTGTGGCGAGGACCAAGTGAAGCCGAAGCGCTGAAGGACCTACTGCACCATGTGTGACTGAGTCAGTGTGATGGTGCGCCATGCTCTGTCCCGGGTGATCTGCAGGCCAAGGTAGCTGCGCAGCTCACACAGGTCTGTAGACGTGTGTCTCTTCTGCAGCTCCGACTTTACAAGGGCGAGAGCCTTAGAGTTAGCAGTGGCAAAGACCAAGTCGTCGACGTACATGATGATGAAGAACGGCGGCAACAAAGTGTCGGTGCGCAAAAACAGCGACAAGTCATTGGTGGAATGTGCAAGCCCAAGAGCTGCAAGTGTCGTCCTCAGTGTGTCGTGCCACTCACGAGGCACCTGACGGAGACCGTAGACTTGCCGGTGGAGGCTCCACTGGGTACAAGGAGGGAACGACCCCGTAAATCTAGGTGGGCGGCGCAGCCAGATCTCCTCGTGCAGACTGCCCTATAAGAATGCTGTGCTGAAGTCCAGGAGTGAAGCTCGTAGTAACGCTAAGCGGCAACTGCCAAGTTACAAAAGTATAAGTGTTGACTAAGGAAAGTGAAAACAAGCAAGATTTAGCAAGCATAACCCTAACCCTAGGAAAACATAAAGTACACTTAGCCTAACACAAATATGCTATAACAAATATAGCTTGACACACCCCCATAGTCTAGGTGACGGTAGTCCTGTGGAAAGCAACACATAGCAAGGGTCACAGGATCAGTTCGCAAAAAACACAGCAAATCTCGTGGTGGATCTCAAGATCACCACACAGTCCGAACAAGCGAGGGGCCACAAGGCCAGTCCACATGCAAGGATATAGCAAATATAGAAGCACAGGTCCACAAGGCCAGTCTAGATGCATACATATATATAGCAAATATAAAGAGATGCCAGAGTACAAAGCAAAGCATCTCTACACAAGCAAGTGAGGGCCTGTAGACACAAGGCTAAGCTGGGTGCAGAAACGTTGGTGGTCACAAGGCGGCAACGCCTTGGTAAAGATATCTGCACTGTTGGCCTCAGAGACCAAACATACCACGCGTGCCTGGCCACGCTGCTGCAACTCACACAGAAGGAAGTAACGAAGTTGGATGTGCTTCACCTTCCCAACAAGTTGAGGCTCCTCACAGAACAGGACAGCAGACATATTGTTGGCGAACAAGACTGTGGGAGAGCGAGGCCGTTCACCAAGGTAGGTGAGAAGGAAAGACAGCCAGCGAAGCTCCTGAGCGGCCATGGCCGCAGCGTACATCTCTGCCTCACAGCTGGAACTGGCGATAGACGACGCCCGAGTCGACCGCCACGAAACAGCACCTGCTCCGAGGCTAAAGGAGTACCCCTGTGTAGACCGGCGCGTCTCCGCGTCGTCGGCCCATGACGAGTATGAGTAACCTGTGAGTATAACTGGCTGCTCAGACTCAGCAACAAGACTAGCAGCGTAGTCTAGACAACAGCGAGCAGCAAAGTCGACAAGCTCAGCAACTAAGGCAGACGCAGCAGTGGACTCAAAGGAAGGGTCAGTGACAACAGTAGCCAGGAGACGCGTCACAGTACGATTGGCAGCACGAAGAGAGTCAGACTCAGGGTCAGCAAGAACAGGAAGAGAGGACTCTGGAGGAGACGGCAATGAGACACGCAGAGGAGCAGTAGAAGGACGCAGTGCCATCTGGTGTGTGCCTAGGACCGCAGGAGGACGTGGACCCGGAGCACGACTACTAGTGCGAGCAGCACGAACAGGCGACACAGAACGAGACGCAGGCTCACGACGCTTAGCAAGACCTCTAGTAGGACCAGTGTAGGGAGAAGGAGCAGGCAGGGGGGAGGTGGGGTGTAACTGTGACAGCGACTAGACAGGCTGTGGACACTCTAAGGGAGGAGCAGGACCAGTAGAAGGCGGAAGACCAAGAACCTGCTCAAGGAGCGGAACGAAGTACGGCCGCGGCCGCGCAGCGCCTCCAGAACCAGCAGGGACAGCACCTGTACCCCCAGGGGTAGCTCCAACGCCAACAGCACCTCCAGCACCAGCACCCCCAGCAGCTCCAGCTCCAGCATCTCCAACTCCAACCGGACCGCCAGCTCCAGTACCGCCAGCAGCTCCAGCACCAGGAGCACCTCCAGGCCCTGTAGCTCCAGTACCTCCAGTACCTCCAACAGCACCAGCTCTAGCAGCCCCAGCAGCACCCCCAGTCCCAGCAGCTCCAGTACCGCCAGTACGAGCCCCTGCAGGACTAGTGGCTCCAGTATCTCCAGTGCCGACACCAGGGTCAGCAGTAACAGCAGCACCTCCTGCTCCAGCTGCATGGCTCTAGCGCCGGGCAAACCACTCGCGCAGCTCCTGTGGAGAGGGTAGCTCCCGCCTCGACGAAGCACCCAAAGGGGCCCCAAACCCAGCACCGCCAGAGGCCACACGAGCAGACCCAGCACCCCCAGGCTCCGCACCCCCAGGCTCTGTATCCCCAAGCTCCGCATCCACAGGCTCAGCACCCCCAGGCTCCGCACCCCCAGGCCTAGCACCCCCAGACTCAGCACCCCCAGGCTCAGCACCCCCGGACTCAGCACCCCCAGGCTCAGCACCCCTAGTAGTACGAGAGTCAACACCTGCCTCGACAGGCTCGACTGCGTCTACCTGGGACACACCTGACGGGGCAGGACCCTGAGGAGGGAGGGGGTCTACCGGGGGGGTGACCTGGCGTAAGGAAGAGCGGCAGCGGGGGGAGCGGTGGAGTGCGGTAGGGGAAGAGACGGTAGTAAGGAACCGACTCGTCAAAGGTGACGTCCTGGGAGGACAGAACACGGCGCAAGGTGGGGTGGTAAAACTGCCAACCAGGTGCATCAGGGGGGAAGCCAAGGAAGATGCAGGGAACCGCACAGGGGACAGCTTGTCCGCAAACAAGTCGCGGACAAACACCCGAGATCCCCAGACACAAAACGCAGACGCATCACCAACCTTCCCCGTCCACCGCAAGGTGGGGGAGGTCTCTGGCAAAGAGACCCGAGGCTTAAGGTTGAGCTGATGCGCTACGTACTGAACCGCAAACGGCGACAGAAAATGGGGAGCAGCCGCATGGATCATGGACGTACGAGCGACGTCCATGACCATGCCAATGCGGCGCTCAGCAATCCCATTTTGCCGTGGAGAGGCTGGAAGCGTGAAGGTCTGGCGGA